GGCCTTCTGACAGCTGGAATTCACCAAGGTCAGTGAATCCTCCCAGCGAACACTGTAGATCTAAAAATAGCAGAGCTATTCCTGTGAAAGGGAAGCGAGAGGGACAATCAGTGCCGGTCACAGTTACAGGGTAGATGCCCAGCCATGGGATGTCAGGGTGGGGGCAAGGAAGCGGGGCTGAAACACTGGGCCACTACCAACCGCGCCAGTCCCAGGACACCCAGCCCGACTGTGCAGTCACTGCTCTATGGCCCTTCTAGGGCCCCAAGAGCACCAGCTGTCCCTGTGTCCCCCACCAATCACACAGGACTTCACTATCCTGCCCCAGCGCAGCCCTGGAAGGGGCAGCCTGTGCATAGACACTGGAGCCAGAGGGTACAGGCAGGAGGAAGGCAGCTCGCTGTCCCCAAGCTCCCTCCACCTCCAGCCCCTGGGCAAGCTCTAACAGAGCAGAGGGAAGACCCAGGGAGGGGAATTACACTGAAAGTGTTGGAGCACGGGGAGTGGCTGACAAGGGGAGTGTGGCTCTCCCCAGAGCAGAGACCTCACAGAAATCAGCTGGGGCCTTGGAGCGGCTGGTGTTGGGCGAGCAGGGGCCGCCGCGGAGGGCTTGGGCCACTTAGAGGCCTCTGATTCCCTTTAATCTGCTCAGCATGGCACTGGCTATGGGCAGGGGGCCGAGGCTGGCACTGAACAAACCCTTCATCCTCCCCAACACCTAGTTCTGAGGCTGATTCCTCCAGCACTGTAGGTAACACCCCAGAACAAGCAGGGTTGTCATCTGAGTACCCCATTCCCAACTAAGGCCCTCTTTGCAATTCAAATTAGCCATGCACACGCACCCTCCCATCCTCCCCATATGCTCTCAGGAAGGCATGTATGTAAACTCACATGCACCCCTCACCCACAGGCATCTATGCTTGAACACCCACACTCCCCCACCCGCACTCCAGTGCACCTCCCCACACCTCTCTATGTGAACATGGACATGCATGCATTTCCTCACACTCTCTGTGCTTGCAAACACTCATGCATCCACATGCCTCCGTGTGTACACACACACCCCTGAACGTGTGCGGGATCCCAGGAACACACACATCCCCCTCTGCAGTGCATAACTGGCCCCTGACCCACATCAGGCACATACCCTCTTCAGATGTGGCCTCGCCTGGGACAGTTGTCCAAGTAGGGCTGGGACTTGTTTCATGTGGTCCGGATTGTGTCCAGGTACAACTTAACAACGGCCTACACATGTGCAAGAGCAGGATTCACCTACAGCACTGCCGTCATTTTCACACACACACAGGTAGTTCGCTGTTGCTGAGTTACTGCCTGTGCCCAGGGCTTCATGCCTACATTTGTGAGCTGCCACACTGTCACCTGCAGGGCACGCAACACCCCTCTCCTGGATATCAGGGTGCTGGGCCACAGGTGCTCCCTTGCAATTCACTTTCTGTGAACAACACCTACAAGGTGTCGCATGCAGCAGGACAGTGGAAGGTGGCAGCCAAGGACTAAGCCCTCACTGCATTCAGGAATGGCAGGCACAGTTCTGGGCAGCCAGCCCGGGTGGGCCAATACCCAGTCCCTGCACCAGGAGCACAGGCGTGGCCTAAGCAAAAATAAAGGATCCGTGTACCAGCAAGGATTCATCACATCCTGCAACTGAGGCCCAGGGACAGGGAGCGCTGATCCATTGTAGGAGGGCTGTTTTCCTCATATTCAGTCTCAGCTGACTTCCAGCCACCAGTGAACAGCCCAGCAGAGTCCCACTCACTGTATTTCCCCCAGATTTATATATTCCCTCTCTGGTTTGTCAGTTGGAAATGAGATGTTTCACACACACGGAGGGAGACCCATAGACTGCTCTCAATTGCCTCTGTTTTTAGTGTGATTTGCTGGCAACATTTCTCAAGTGCATCACACACCTGCATGTCTTCCATTTTAATTACACAATAGAACTGACCCCCCCTCTCTGCACAGGGCCTCCCCCAGACACTGCATGTGAGAACTGTGGAGCAGCAGGGAAGAGGCGCTCTGTGATCAGAGCGCCTAAACCTTGCCCTGTGTATCCGCGATTCCTTCAGTATCAGTCTGCCCATCTGTCAAATGGGCTCCCAGGACTAATGATCTATAAGGTCTTGTGCATCACTCAAAATTAGATCCACCTTGGAGAGGCGCAGGCCAGCAGAGACCACAGCACCAGGGGGTGCACCTCAGGTTCCAGGTAGAGGACAGTGGCAGAGGGTGCAGGAGGAGAAGAGGGGCTGCCTGGACTCCCTGAATTTTGAGAGCAGGTGGGAGGAACTCTACAGGCTGGCGTGCCATGCCACCCTGTGCTGCTCTGTCGTTCTGGGCAGCTGTGCAATGGGCCCAGGGCAAGCTCGGGCCCAGCTGCCCTCCCTGCCCCACCCCCACCTGACCCCTTCTCCACGCTGACTGCATTCCCCTCTGCCAGAGTCTTGCTGTGCCAGGCTGGGGCTGGCAGAGGCAGGGTTCGTGCGTGGTCCTCTGCACCCCAGCAGGTGCTCAGCTGCCCAGGGCTGTGGGTGGTGGTCTGCCGGGCTCAGGGTAAAGGACGCTCACCCTGGGGGCTGCTCCCAAGGCCATGACATTTTGAGGCAAGCGTGTAACTTCTGGACCAGGTGGCCAGGCTCCTCGGGTGGCACCTGCTGAGGCACTCAGGGAGGAGGACATGCCTCCTCTGTGCGCACATTATGACCTGAATCTAGCCTTGAGGGGGCGTTGGGTTAAGCAACCGTTTCTATCCCACAAGTGGCCAGACACACTAGGAAAATGCTAAGGACAGGAAACAGACTCGCTGCTGAAACGTGACGGCGGCTGCAGGTCAGAGGAGTCTGAGGAGATAGGCAGGGGCCATGATGAGAGCCTGGGCATGTCCTTGAGTATAAAGGCCATCAGAGGGACAGCAAGGAAATCTGAATAAGCCTGAGCATGAGAAAATTGAATGTGTCAGTGCTCATTGGCTGGTAATGCTCTCTGTGGGGCAAACCCAGCCAGGACTCAGGACCCTGTGGGGAGTGGGCAGCACGCACCTGCTGAAAGATACTGAATAATTCATCCAATACGTTGTTGGATGAGTCATTTCTCCTCATGTTGTATTTGCTGATGGCAAAGTCCAGGTCCCGCTGCACGCCCTCATCATTGACATCTGCTTTCTCGATGCCGACCACCCCTTTGGAGTTCTTGGCCAGGGGCATGGCCAGGGTCACAGCCAGGGTCACGGCCAGGATAGCCAGCAGGAGCAGTGGGGTACGCAGGGGTCTGGCCATGGCCTGCTCAGATGCACAGTGAGAAGCTGGAGCTGCAGAGGAGCCGATGGTGTGATCCTGAGACCTCAGCCCCCTCCTGCAGGCTGCAGCGTTTTACCCTGCTAGGGTCCCCCCACCCCGCCTGCCACCTGGCTCGCTCCTCCTCTTCCTCCTCCATCTCCCTTCCTTCCTGCTCCTGACCTCACTCCCACCACTCCCCCAGTCCTCCTCCCCTCCCCAGTGCTCCCAAGCTAGTGTCGCTCTGTCTCCAGAGAGGTCACAGTGAAAGCAACATGACCTCTTCACTGTTTCCCCAAGAAAAGGGTCAAAGAGACATCTTGGCCTCCTGAAGTTGTTCCAGGTCAGGGTCACCTCTGAGCACTTGGTCAAGGTGTGGAGTCCTCAGGGCAAAGTGTGACATCAGAGGATCCTGGAAAACCCAGCCCACATCCTGGTCTGAACTTGTTTACCGAACATTAGGAAATTAACCTCCAGGTTCTCTGAAGCTCAATATCATTTTAAACAGGCTCTTTCTAGCTTTTCCCCAGGAAAGGGCTCTAGGGCCTGGAGACTGAGCCATGGACTTGACACTGCAGAGCTGCCGCCCAATAGAGATGTGACACACAGCCAAGAGCAATTTTAAATTCTCTAGTAGGCACATTCAAAAGTAAAAGTAAACAGGTGACAATAATTTAAATAATATTTTTGTTTAATGTAAGATATCTAAAATGTTATATGAAATTCCAAGAACAATTATTAATATGATAATTTGCTATAAACATTCTAGTGCAGATATCTTTTTTATAGAATGTGTTTTTTTCTTTTGGTTAGATGCCCAGTCATGGGATTGCTGGATCAAATGGTAGTTCTACTTGTATCTCTTTGAGGTATCTCCATATTGCTTTCCACAGAGGTAGTACTAGTTTGCAGTCCCACCAGCAGTGTAGGAGTGTTCCTATCACTCTGTATCCATGCCATCCATTTCTTGTTTTGGGACTCTTTGATAAAGGTTATTATCACTGGAGAAAAATGATATCTCAGTGTGGTTTTGATTTGCCTTTCCCTTATGATTAGAGATGTCGAGAATAATTATAGCAGCACAATTAACAATTGCAAAGATGTAGAAACAACCCAAGTGCCCATCGATCCATGAGTGTATTAATAAAATGTAGTACATGTATATCATGGAGTCTGGTTGGGCAAGGGCAATGTATGTACCCTAAGTATTTGTAACCCCATAATATACCGAAATAAAAAAAAATTCTAGACCTCTTTAATTCTCTTTCATGACATATATGATAGACATATCCTTCATTTTTCTCCACCCACTAGTTAATCAAATAAATATAGATGAAGCCTCCTGAATCATACCTCTAAATAATAAAAGATAATTTATGCTCTTCTGGGTGTTGGGTGTCTACACTATGTCTTTAGAATTTCATGTATATCATTTACACTTGGAGCATGTGTCCATTTGGACTGGCCCCATTGCTAACATACCATGGCCACATGTGGCTGGTGGCTGTGGTATTGCTCAGCCCAAATTTAGAGTATAGGGTGGGGGGCAATGAGGAGCAGTGAGCAATAATTAAGATCAGGGAGTAATAGACACTCTGTTGGAAGTGAAATAGAAGGTGGAGAGAGACAGTTGGTGCCACTGGAACCTGGTCATTCAGGGAGGTCTGTGTGAGTCCTAGAAGGGCAAGAGTCCTGCCTGACCCGGAAATAAGAGCTCTGGGCAGAGGGCACAGCCAGTGCAAAGGCCCTGATGTGGGGCTGGGCATACCTCTTCTGTAAGGGGGGCGGGGCGCTGTGTTTTGGAACCTGACAATACAATGTGTGTGGGGCTGGGCTAGCAGGGGGCAGGGAGACCCCCAGCAGGCAGTGGGGGGCAGTGAAGGGTGCCCACAGGGATGAGCACACTGGCCACTCACACTTGTCCTCTTTGACAGCTGGGCTGCCAGACCTGGTCCTCTGTGCAATGCTTGGGAAACTCACCTGTTTTTTAAAACATCACCTTGTATTAGGTATAAGTTATACACAATAAAATGTCTCATGTTATGTGTGCAGACTGAGGAATTCTAGAAATGAATAACCAGTGTTACCACTCTGCCAAGATCTAGAACATGACCACTGCCCCAGCAGTGTCCTCCTGTCCCTGCAGTTGACCTCATGGCCACCTGTGGTGGGAATGCTTATTCCCAATTGTTTATTCCCATACTTTCATTTCCCATTTGTTTATTTCCCATTTATCCATTTTATTTTGACTTATGTATATATATACTCTCAACTTTTGCTACTTTTAATATAGCAAAAGTTTCAAGTGTTTGAATTTAAAGAATTTTTAAAAATATATTCTGAATAAAAGCATTTATATCACCTGTGACTTGCTCATATTTTCCCAGTTGGTGTTAACTTTTGGTTTTCTTAATAGTATCTTTTAAAGACTGAATATTTTTTAATTTAATGAAATCTACTTTTTCAGTATACTTTTTATGGATCATGCTTTTGGTGTTTTAGCTAAAAACAGCCTCACCAACAAACCTAAAGTCATGTCTATTTCCCCCTATAATATATTATAGTCTTTTATAGTTTTAGATTTTACACTTTAGTCTATGGTCTATTTTGAGTCCATTTTTGTTAAAGTTGTGAAATATGTATCAAGGTTCATTTCTGCTTGACAGATCATATTAGTACAGTGTCTCTACTGAAGAAGATGTTCTTACTTTGGAATGTCTATCACCTTTCTCAAAACCCACTTGAATATATTTCTGAGTCTGTTTCTTGAATCTCTTTGTATTCCATTGGTCTATGAGTCCAGCCTTCCACCAAAACCACACTGTCTTGAAGACTGTAGCTTAATGGCAAGCCTTGTGATCAAGTAGGTTGTATCCTCTAACTTTGTTCTATTTCAGAAGTGTTTTGGCTCTTCCAGTACTTTTGCCTTTATATATTTTAGAATTAGCTTGATGATAATCTACAAAATATATCTGCTAGGATTTTCATCTGCAGCACAGTGAACCTATAAACAGAAAAGGGGAGTGCTGTCTTCTTAGCAATATTAAGACTGAACCCATAGGTCTTTCATGTCTCTCTTTTTTACTTAAATCATGTCTTATTTCTTTCATCCATGTTTTAGAGTTTCCAGCATACAGGGCCAGCACTTCCTTTGTTAGAATTATTCCTAACTATTTAATTATTTACTTTTATTTTAAATATTAATTTAATTTAAAAATTGTTTAACTGTTCAATTATGATACATTATTGTATACTTATATGTAATATATGCTGTAATTGTGTATTGGCCTTTGACACTAACACATTGCTAATTTTAATCATTAGTTACAGAGGCTTTCTCTGGGTAATGTAAGTTTTTCATAAAAAAACATTCATTTTAATCACAAATAGAGTCAGTTGCATTTCTTCCTTTCTAATATGCATGCCTTTTACTTCTTATTTCTGTCTCATAGCACTGTGCAAGTCTTCTAATACAATACTGAATAGGAGTGACTTGTTCCAAGTCTTAGGAAAGAAAATTTTCAATCCTCACCCTTAAGTATGTAGATTACAAAACATAGCCTTTATTTGGTTAAGAAAATTCTCTTTTATTCCTAATTTGCTTACAATTTTTACCGGAAATGAATGTTGAATGTTATTTCATGCTATTCTGCATCTATTGAGATTTGTAAAGTGGGATTTCTACAGTAGATTCCTTTGTATTTTGAATAGTGAATGAGCCTTGTTTTTCTTATTCATAATGTATCACCCCAGATAGATAGATAGATGTATAGATTAGTTCAATATCATGTGGCAATTAAAAAAAATGTTTTCTCATCTTTGTTCATGACTGATATTAGTCTATAGTTATCTTTTCTTACAATACCATTTTTTGGTTTTCCTATTAGTGTACTGCTGGCCTCATAAAATGAGTTGGAAAGTGTTGCCTTCTATTTTTCTAAAAAAAAAAAAAATTGGGTACAGTTTGAATTATCTTGACCTTAAATAATTGTAGAATTCACCAAAACAACTGGTGACTTGGTTTTGGGGGAAGATATGATTTGCGAATTTACTTTTTTCTTAATCGATATAGATC